AGTCCCTGCTGCTTATCTGCTGACAGACACTGATCTCTCACCTGGACTCACTGCAACCTGCTGCTCATTACTCCTTATTTTGTTTGCAGGTCGTAAACGAGCGAGGCGGCGACGTGATCGTGGTCGGGCGCGGGATCATAGAGGCGAGCAATCCTGCCGGCGCCGCGAGAGAGTACCGCGCCCGAGGGTGGGAGGCCTACCAGACCAGCTTGTTGTCAAGCTAAAGCTTCATCGCATCCATCTCCTCGCAGTGCTACTAAACCCATGTAAGAAGTGGGGATTTCAGGCAGGCGATGGATGTAATAATAAGGAGCGCGGGAGTATAGTACTACGTGCGTAACAATGAACTTCGTATCAGAAAAATCTAAGAATAAAGTAGAGTGATCCGATTAGTACGGAAATACTTGTCGAAGAAATAGATTTATCTATGTATTTTAGTTCTAACTACATTCATTTTTATCTATTTCTGTGACAAGTAATTTTGGACCTACAGCTTTTGATGATCAATCTGGTCACAAAATGAATGAATGGTGCCTACATGCGTACGTGAATAGCTGATACACACATGGGTGATGCTAGTGATGTCGGGAAATTAATAAGGCGGCATACTTACGCTCCTAATTATTGTCAGTTGAGTGAAGATAATGGAGTGGACAAACTTTTGGTCAGTATTTGTACGCAAGAAGCTGCATGTATGTTTGATCAAGGTGTGCAGGAATTTGGTTGTTTCTTCTGGTTGTCACGTACAAAACATGGTCCAGCTATAGATGCACAAGAGAAATTTTTTATTGGGATTAATCAAAGAATTCTAACCTACTACTATTTCTCGCAGTCAAGACCGCCGGAGCAACAAGCGTACGTCAACAGATTTAAATGGTGACAGTTGCTTTCCTTGAGAGATATAGGTTGGGGCCACCAAATAAATTGTGTTTAGTTATTTTAGGTATTTATTTTGTAATGATTATCTGCTAAAATAAAGCACGTGATTAGTTTTACTTTCCTTGGTTATTTTGATCGAGAGTTAGAGATAGAAAGAAAGTTTGTTCGGTCAACTTCTTAGGCAAGTTTGAGTTCGCAGGTATACTAGTATATATAGTCATAGTACGATCAATGTAAAAGGGGCAGGTTATTTTTTATGAAATAGACACGATGTGTTTTTCAGGATAGACACCCGTATCAAGTTTTGGAGGGACCTTTAGAAAACCTCTGTGTTGCGATTTTTCTTCATGGAAATTGTTTTGCGCGTGAGTACCTTCGTCAAGATTGGTTTTCTCGTGCCAGGCCGCAAGGTTCAAACCCTCTACTTCGTGTACATCGCGTGGGCGGGCGAGAGGTTGCTACTGCTGGTGGTGGAGTGTCGTGAAAGGTCGGGCCGCAACAACGGATTGGATCTCACCACGAGGTTCGGTCCACATCAATAGCTACCCCTGGTTTCAATCGAGAAAATTACCATCTTTCTCGACAATGTGGTACATCACAGACAAAGCAACTCACTCAATAGTAGCTTATGTTTATCTATATCTATATCGATACCATATAAAAAAGGTGAGTTGTAGAGATCTAACAAATCTCACCCGTTCAACCACATCTATCAACGGTCTACGTGGCTTCGTGTTTACCATTAAACATATTTAGGACTAAGCACATTTAACACCCTTACTAATTAATAACATTTCTAATACCAACGTCAGCACATGTGGTTAGCAAACTAAAAATCTTCCACAGTTTTGATTAAGACGAGATCATCAAAGTTCCCATCAACCCATGCGTGTTCCTTGGCCAGACGAGAACATAACTAAACATAACTAAGGGTCAATTACTAATTACTTCCTCCGTTCATAAATACAAGTCCTTTTAGAGATTTTGTTGTAGACTTCATACGGAGCAAAATGAGCAATCATATATATACTTTAAAAGGATCTATATAGTGGAATCTCTAAAAGACTTATATTTGGGAACAGAGGGTGTGGACTACCCAGAGACTAGATAGAGTTAGTAATCTTATGGTACTGCGTGCCGTCGGTAGAGCTGGAGCAGCTGCCGCCCGGATCAGACTTGCATTTCTCGTCGCCGCTACCGGCTGGAGGATCCTCCGCCAACGTGATCTCCGAAGACTCCTAATCAAGCAAGAGACCACAAAATAAGTACTACTATCTTCATCAATATATGAACACGATTGAATTCATTAATGTAACAGAGTTTGATCAGTTTGTAATGTACCGGCTCCGGCTGGGACGGGAAGACTGCCCACTGTAGGCTGCTGCTGGCATGTTCTGGTGGCTCGTGAACCGAGCTTGGCTCCTCCCCGCGGTACAATTCGAGCGCCGTCTGGAGGTTGGCCACGATGTCTGATATGGCCGGCCGGTCCATCCCATTCTCCTTCACGCAACATCGTGCAGTCTGGGCCACGTTCTCCAGCGCCCGGAGCTGCCCGGGCGTTGGCTCCGGTACGGGTCGAGTGCCCAACAACCCCCTAATATTGCCGGCCTCAATGATGGGGACTGCGAACTCTGTCAAAAGTAGATTATCCCCCTGGTCGTCCACCACAGTCACCTTTTTACCTGTCAGAACCTCGAGCATCATGATGCCCAGCGCATACACGTCGCTCGCCGGCTTCACGTGACCAGTGGCCAAGTACTCTGGGTCGATGTACCCCCATGTGCCAGTAATGGCGCTTCTCATCCCGAACTCCTCACTCATCGCCTTGTCACAGACCAAGGACAAGCCAAAGCCCGACACATGCGGTACCCAGTTGGCGTCGAAGAGGATGTTTTGCGACTTGATGTCCTTGTGGATGATCGGCGGGTTGGCATGGCAGTGCATGTGCTTGATGGCGCGCGACACGCCGAGGAGCACATCGATGCGCGTCTTCCAGGACACCGTCACGGGTGACAGCTCGGAGGAGCCATCATCAGGGTGTAGGTGGTGTAGGTGGTGGAAGAGCGTGCTATTCTCCATGTACTCGTAGACGGTCAGCCACTCCGGCTCTTTCGTCTCCTTTCTCCACCAGGATAGCGGACGCCTTCTTTTCTGTTGCTTGTCCTTGCTTGCAGTCATGCATGATCCGAGGAGGCGGACGATGTGTTTGTGTCGGAGCCGTGGTAGGATGTCCAGCTCCGTGCACAAGTTCTCCTGTAACAAGTTTGACTGCCGGTCCATGATGCGCTTGACGGCCACTTGTCGCCCATCGTGAAGCATTCCCCTGTACATCGTCACAGAGTGGCCGGACTCGAGCTCCGTGTGAGGGGAGAAATAATCGGTGGCAGCGACGATTTCTGCAAACGTCAAGTCATGGATTTCATATGGTACTACTTCCTGATCGACCACTGTAGACTCCTGAAAACGAGACCATAAATAAGCAGGCAGCATTCAGGGAGCAGCGCGACCAATTTGTACTGAAATTGCGCATACCTGCAGCTGGGACGACTCTGAAAGCGTAGACGGTTCAGCTCCGGCTCCGGCGGTGTCAAGGAGCTTGTAGATCCGGTCGAGACGGCGTGCAATGCCGATGTGGCTGGTTACGGGGAAGAGCAGAAGGTAGAAGTCGATCTTGTTCTGCATCTCCCTGAACCTCACGGCCTTCCTGCCAGCCATGAAAAAATGGTACGCCGCGCTCCTCCTCTGGCAGGACATGAGGAGCTCGTGGGCTTCCTGCAGCATGTCACCCAGCCCGGCCATCGGCCGCGCCGCCTCCGGGTCCTCCACGAGCGGCAGCAGCCGCGAGATTATGAGCACCCGACGCGCGAGCTGCCGGCACTCCCTCCTGTTCTGCCGCGCCGTCTCCGCAGCCTGCGTGATCCTTGAGATGAGCCCGACGACGTCTGCGCCGACAAGCTGTGCCACCGTCGCCACATCGCCGAGCTCAGTCCACATCGACATGGCAGCAGCCTACCTATAGCTATAGCTAGGAGTTTGGCCGACCTGCACCCAAGGGCGAGACTCGGAATGATGGCGTGGTTGCCTTTGATTTATATATACTGTGCTCCTTCTAGAGTCTCCACACTGGGGCCAAGCCGTTGAAACCACTTTGCGGTCGTGGTCGCGGGGGTGGGCCGCTCTTGGCAGAAACTCCCCGGAAGCTAGGTGAAGGACTCAAGGTCAAGGGGACGCGTTTCACTTGGATGACTGCTGCTCACGCAGCTACCCGGGAAATATCCAGTAAAGCGGTCACGTTTTCTACTAGTTTTCACACGTCTGTTTTTTATTTGGCTTTAGGCCGTTTTTCTATCCGTCCGATCTGCACGGATCACTGTGGCTCGACTGTCCTTCAGTTTTTCTCTTCTTTTTGACGGCCGACTGTCCTTCAGTGAGCGCGCCGGGTTGGTCCGTGTCGAGGGCTTTTGGCTTTGTTAGGACTTTCCTTTCGGGTTTGCGGGTCGCGATTGGGTCTCGCTCTTCGCGCCGTGCGCCTCAGTTTATTTATTTGTTTTTTGACTCTTTTATTTATTCAGTTGGCGGGGCGACATGGAAAGGAGGCTCCCCGCCGGTGATTAGCGGCATGGGCTGGTGGAGGAGGTCCATGGCGCGTGGCGAGCCGCCGGCAAGCAGCTCACTTGTCCACGGGAGGAAGGGCACCTTTGATTCAAAGGAATTTCATAGGATTTTTGAAGGGTTAGAATTTTTAAAAATTTTTTCTACATTGATCGTTTGATTCAATTCATAGGATTGAGTCCTATAGAAAATTTTCCCATGTAATCATGTGTTCTAAGCTTCATTGCAAATCTAGCATCCGCTACAACCTTTTTTTTTCATTTCCTTTGTTTTTCTGTAAAAGATAAACCGACCAAGATATGCTCCTAATGTAACACTTCACCATGATGAACAAAATTAATCAATTAGATGTGTGATGTCCTATATTTTCCAGAGCAAAAATAAGCCCCAACAAAACCAGATTCGGTGCAACAATTCTAGTAACCAAAATCTGGGTGTGCACTGGTCCAGATAATTACCAAACAAATGATTGCACCTGTAGTGGACTCTGGCATTCCAAAGAAACACTAAGCAAAAGCCACAAAGGGGTCTTGATATATGAAAAATGTTCTGTACATTACAAGAAATCACCACATAGGAATAAGATTAGTCGTAAGTAATTGGATATCACATATGAGATGCTAATATTGAAATCAGTAACCATGCTATTTACTCCTATGCTCCACCTGCTTGCTCTTCAAACAGATTGAAAGAACCAAATCACCTTCATCAGAATGCTACCCAAAGGTTAAAACAACGTAGCAGCATACAAGTTATGCCTTCAGAGAAAAATTGTCCAACACATACCTGGGGCAGCGGGGCTGGCTGGGGATGCGCGTCGGATGCGTGGTGCGGCTAGGCAAGGTTGAAACGGACGGCGGCGGGGCAGTTCCGGTCGTCGCCGTCGTCGATCTGGTCGGGAGGAAGGCCGGCAGTCGCGAGGGAAGGTCCCGCAAAGCTTTGGTCCATGGCCATGGCGTCTTGCAGCATGGGAACAGAGAGATGGAGAGAGATTAACGAGGAGAGGGAGAGAGAAGGGAGGAGGAGGGCGCTGAGTGCGGCTGACCAGCAGAGGAGGTCGGCGGCGGCGGCTTGCCGTAGCACGGGCGACGACCAGAGGCGGGGTCGACTCGCGACGATGGGGCGAGGAAGCACCTGGGAGGAGGGGTCGCGCAAGTTGTTGCGGATCCGCTATTCTCCAGAATCAGATCATCTCTAGCAGACCCCTTAAACTGGTTAAACCCGTAAAAAAAAGTGTTCACAGTTTTGGTCAAAAAAACGGCGTCTAGCAGATCCTGTAAAAATTGTTCGGCCGTTAAACTTTTAAAGGGCACTGAAAATCCATTCGCGATAACCTTACATGTACAATTTTGAAGCCAGTATACAGTTCAACTCGCAAACCGGTCAAACCTCGTCGGAGCAGACGCGCCGCCATTGAATTTGCCGGAATCTACCCGGAACTCACCGAAAACCGTCGCCGCCTATCGGAAGAAGCCGCCACACGCCGGAATTTGCCGCCGCCGGTCCGAATTGCGGCCGGATCGACCTCCGCTGCTGAGGCGAGGCCGTCCACGGGCAGGGCGGAGCAAGCCACCGGCGGCCTGAATCAGGGTGGGGCAGCGCCGAAGAAGGGTGGGGGGCACTGGGAGCTCACACGACCACGTCGAGGGGGGAAGGGGGCAGGGACCTCACGCGGCAACGTCGGGGAGTGCGCGCGCGGCAGCTGGACGGGCAGGCGCGCCAGGGAGCACGCGGTCGGTGTGGGCGGCGACTGGGTGAGGCGGGGGTGAGGCGGGCGGCGCCAGGGCGAGGCAAATCTTGGCCGGAGACGGGAGAAAAAGGAAAAAAAAAAGAAAAAAAGGGCTATTGTGTCATACAACTTCATTTACGGGGCCTGTTCTGCGTGGGGCAATTTCGCAATGTAAAAACTGTTTGCAGTGCGCCTTATATGCGTTTTCTTTTAAGGGTCTGCTAGGGATGCTCTTAGGGAGTTGATTCGATTGGAATCAATCCTGAAATCAGGGACCGCGGCGACGCCGCGGGGATCGGGGACGTGGAGCACTGCGAAGATCGGCAGACTAAGGCGTCTGCTCGGCAGAACATCTGATTTGAGACGTTGATTTAGCTGACAGACCACTAATATGATATAGGTTGTAGAATGTGTTTAAGTTAATTTGATCAAAGAGTCCTCGTTATCTTGTGTATAATTTATTGTGTAGCTTTGGAGAAATTTAAGTTTGCTCTTTTAATAGTAGTGTAGACTTGTTTAGCTCCCTACCACTTCTTTTTCATCGTCCCCTCACCCCTTGCACCCAAATAGTACTATCCTACCCGAGTGTGGCGTTGCAAAGACCGGGCTCCATGGAGCTCGTTTTGCAAAAAAAATATTTTAATATGTTTAAAAGTTTCAAAAACTGTCAATTATTTTCTACAAGTACATATACACATTCTTCAAGTATGTATAAAATTTCATCAACTAATTTGATTATTTGCAAGCTACTCCCTCCGTAAATTAATATAAGAGCGTATAGATTATTAAATTAGTGTTCTAAACGCTCTTATATTAGTTTACAGAGGTAGTACACAAAAAGACAAATATCTGACACAAATATTATAAAGAAAAGCCTATTTTAATCCATATATTTGTCTTTTTTGTGTACATCACATATGAATATATATGTTCATGAAATTTTATACATGTATGCTACAAGTATATGTCTACACGAAAACTTTTTTTTCTGTTTTTTTAAGATGTGGAAAAGGTATTTTTGCTGGGGAAAAATGAGCTGAATGGAGCTTGGCCTTTGCAGCAACTTTTCATAGCTTACCCCCTCTCTCGTCTCTAGCCGTCCCTCTCTCTCTTCATCTTTCGGACGCTGCATCCCAGCCTGGAAAAGGGAACCTAGGCAGCTTTCCCTTTCGGGAAACTCATTGTCCCGCCGTGGCATGCCCACCTGCCCGCACGCGCATGAGGCGACGGTGGCCTTCTGTTTCTCCTCTCCTCGCGGTCAGTTCTGGTGGTCCTGATTTGGTGTGGGTGGGTGTGTTCAGTTGTCAGGCCCAGCGAATCCTGACCCTTCCACTCCGTTTCACAAGTATCACAAGGTGCATGTGCGCTAGGAGAGGCCATACTTAAATCGCTTTCGCATGCATATAGACATAGAGGAAGCAAATTTTGGTCCGGCGGAAATGGATGTAACTTGAACAAGAGTAATGTAGAAGCACATACAGAAGAATTGATGTTCTATTTTGACATTAACCAAATTATTTAACTGGTTCATCAAGTGAAATGAAAATAAACTCCACGAGATATGAAACTTCAACTAGGTCAAATTGAGGTGTTTGTGTTACCAAATAAATGACATCGCCTTCTGCTGCCATCATCACCATTGTCGAATTGCCTGATGGAGCACGCCTCGCACACCCAACATTCTCACTGCTGATATATCTTTCTTTTCTTTGTTCCACTCCTGGTATTCTCCATCTTCTGTAACACATTAGTATGGAGGTTTTAATCGTGCTTCCTATTAGAAAATACCAAAAAATACAATTTTTATTTATTTATACTAAACATTTTTATTTATTTGCAACTCATTCAATTAATTACAATTTTAACATATTATATTTGTTTCATTTAATAAAATTAATCACATTAAAATGATGTCGAAGTTACAATATCCAATTTTAACATATTATATTTGTTTCATTTAATAAAATTAATCACATTTATAATATTTCGTGACAAATAAAGGTGTAGCCATTATGATCTTTACATTTTGCAGTTAAAGTTATGTTTGTCAAATTTTGGAGACCTTTCCATTTGTAAACTTTCAATATATCCAATCCCTCTAAATCGGAGGGAAAAATTACAATATCACATGGGTCCACGGATTAGTTTGTGCCCCTTCAGATGGATACCGTATATATGTACCACATTCACTTTACTATTCTCAAATATCTTTTTTGAGATGGTTCTAAACAGCGTGGTATAATAAATATCTTGGTAGAGTATTTGCCAGTTTTAGATATAAGAAATTTGAAAATGCGTGGGTATATATGGTGTCCACTATGGATTCTCCACGAAATATTGACATCATTGCTATTTCTAACTATTTGACGACCATATATGTCTTTTTGGTTAGTAGTGTAAACATGCTCTCTACTTTATATGACGACCATATGCAGCAGACACTTCGCGGTGAAAAACCACAGCACGCAAACTCCCTCTAAGAAATTACTGCTAAGGCGTGTGTGAAGAAAAAAGCTAGTCACACAAAACTGAAACGGCAAAGAGGTCAGACTCACCGAATGAGGGGTGTCACAGTCATACTGCTCACCAGGAGAATCTCCTCCGAGCAATGCTACACGCACGGACAGGTTTTTACCGATTCTACGGGGATGCTTAGCTG